TATAAGGCAGGGGGGCTTGAATCCCTGCGCGACCATGTTGCGGATCTCGACCAGCTTGCCTTCTTCAGATCCGACAAACACCAGATTCTGATCGATGGTTTCTGTGGCGGCGCCCTTTGAACCAACAATGATGCGAATCGGATCCTTCATAATCGTTTTGGCCATCTCTTCCACACTGGCGGGCATAGTTGCGCTGTACAGCGAGATCTGCAGATTGGTTGATGTGCACGCGGCCAGGATCTCGTCGACCTGCTCCACAAAGCCCTTCTCCATCAGGCTGTCGGCCTCGTCAAGCACCAAGTTGCGCACCCGACTCAGATCAATTTCGTTGTTCTGGATTGCGTGCACCAGACGCAGCGGCGTGGTCACCAATATATCATACTTTTGGCGCAGCGCCGGATCCTGTGCCTGCATTGCTGCTGTCTGCTTTGTCATCAGCCACGTCTTAATCTTACGGCCTGTGGTGAGATTGCTCAAGTGCTCATGGATCTGCGTCGCGAGCTCCCTGGTCGGCGACACAATAACGGCCCGCAGGCCCTGCTTCTCCTCAGCGTGCACCTGGTGCAGTATGGACAGCAAAAACGCGAGTGTCTTTCCCGATCCTGTTGGCGCGTTGGCAATGAGGTCCCGGCGGTGCACGGCAATTGGGATTGCCTGCATCTGAATCGGCGTCGGCTGCTTGAAACCAAACTTTATAAGGTTGCGCAGAACAAACGGCTGGAATTCGTGCTCCTTGCACAGCATCTCAAACGATTTGACCGGGTGCGGGACGTCGCTTCCAGTCACCTTGATCCGATGGCTCTTCAGGTATGTGGCGACCTCGTTGCTGTTTTTGAATGGCGTGTGATCATCCTCTTCCTTTATGAACTGGCTGGCGGATCCGCTGACCTGGCTCGCAGGAATGGCTGCCTCGCTCCTCTTTGACTGCTGCCTGCTGTGATCCCCGAAAAAGTCGAGCTCCTTTGGAACAATATCTACGACATCGATTGTCTGCTGGTCTGCGCGCCTTGAGGGCTAACATTTGGTAAGGGAACAAATACAAAAAACGGTTTAGCTTTGAGTTTCTCAAACCAAATACTCCGAGTGTCTGAGCGAGTGTATTTTGCGCCCGAGAGTAAAATTATGCAACCTTACCTTGAAAACGGATATATCCTCCTTGAAGCGGCTCTTGTCAAATTTGGCACCGGCCCCGAGAAGTTTAAAAAAGTCCATGGGTCAAAATTTGCAACGACCCTTGTTTATTTAGAAGTTAATGGATAATTCGTGAAATAAAAATAAAAATGTCGAAAAATTGAACGTCGAATGCGGAATTGAAATTAGCGAATCGCACCCAAGAGCACAAAATGAAAATTGCTGGTCAGTATTTTTTTCTTCTGCGGATTCTTTCTTTCATTTTACCCCTTGCTCCAAAAAAAATTCAAGAAAAAAAAAAGAAAACCAGATCAACCTTGATCTATTGATCAGTGCACAGAAAATGACGATCAATACTGTTTGTTATTACTCCGAACCAGTGATAAAAACATCTATTAGTGGAACATTCCGCTTTGGCCGTTAATGGCATTGGCCCAGTACGCGTAGTCAGGCTCGCCATCAGAGTCGTATCCCTCGTGACCGAGGTCGTTGCCATGGCCGTGAAAGTCATCGTAGTCGTCGTAACCATTATCATCATCGTACTCGCTGTAACCATTGTCGTCTCCGAAGCCATCATCCTCCCACTCGCCATGCTCATTTATCCGATCGATTAGTTCAACCGCGTCGTCATCCCTGTCAATCATATCACCAGTGGCAATCAAATGGCTCAGCTTCGTGCACGATTTCCCCACATCTATGAGCTCCTCTGCCCTGATATCGTGACAACAATCAATCTCCAGCCATTCGAGATCGCCCAGAGTATGTGCAATTGCCCCCATCGTGCGATGGGATGCGGATGTCTCGTTGATGACCAAAGTGGTAAGGTTGGGAGTCATATGGATAATTTGCTCCAAAGATTCATCAGTCAGCATAGTCTCACTAATGTCCAAGAAGTTGAGCGAGCTGCACAAGTTTGGATTGTCTTTGAACAATTTGACAAAGGCCTCGTTATAAATGTGCTGGCACAAATTCATGTTGAGCTTGCGCATGTTCGGGCAGTGCTTGAAGATGGGTACCATCTGCAAGCTGCCGACCTTCTCCCACCTGCCGCCAAGCATCGAGAGATCTATTGTCCGCACAATATCGCCGTACGTTAAATACTTTCCTATTGTTATAGCAAGCGGATTCCCCACAACCGTGCTGAAGCTTCGGAATCCTGGTATGGTGTTCAAGGCTGGTTCCACCCACATTTTAGGAATAACGTGCCGCCAGGCGTGTCTGGAAGTCCTGCTCAGCTGCTCGAGGTCTTTCAGCTCAAGGTATTTGACAATACCCTCCAATATAATCGGGTTGTTGAACACGCGGACGCTGGTCGGTATATCTGTAGCGCCGTTCATGAGTTATTCAGTCGGGGGAAATGAGTGCGGGTGTGATATAATATGTATTAAAAAGTTGACAAGAATAAAATCAAAGAATGTAAAGAAAAAACAAAGAAAAAAGAAAATGCTACGGCACGGCAGCAGTAGCAGTCCCAAAATTTCGACGTTCTTTAAAAAATTATGCATTATGGCTTGAAGGCATCTCGCGTGACTGCGCCATATCGAATCCAGCATTTATTTAATTAACAATATGCACTATATATGGTAGAATATTTATTATGACATTTTCCATGATGCAAAATAAATATTAAACCTAATAATATGTAGACAGCAGTGTCTCTCACGCGCTATGTAAGATCTAAGATAGTGATTAAACAAGATGTATTATTTGCTATTTGAGCGTTAATTTGCAATAGGAGTAAACCAAAAGAGAAATTTAAAAAAATCTGGCGCTCTAATGTGTTATGTACTGTGTATATTATTTATACAAATGCTTTGTACATATTATTTTTTCTGCTTATGAAATGAACGAAAACCAAACTAATATATTTTCTAATTTTTTGTTTTTGCGTGCCTTGTTTATTTCTGCTCTATATTTTAAGTATCTCACTTTACAACAATATCCCACTTTTTGTCATGGATAAAATACTGTTGCGTCTTTTGTATTTCTTGCAGTCCGTCTATAGACACGTGGAACCTCAAATTTCAGTTACTTGGTGTTTGTTGTGGATGGAGAGCAGTTGTTATGCGTTTGGTTTACAGAAACGTTTACTTTGAAAGTCGATTGACCAAAAAAATTAGCGCTACTATTATCTCTAAAAACAAAGGACCTGCCAGCAACACCGAAATTAAAATGTTAAAATTTAACATCAATCTGATTGACACCACCGGCGCGTTGCAATATGCTAAAAACCTATAAGTCAACATTAATTCCTTTTCTGATTTCAATATGCTCTACAAAATATTGGTTCTCATGTACAAGAATAACCCGCAGCACTAGACTGGAATTTCTACGCTTATAATGATAATACAATTAAACCGTATACTGCGCGCCTGCAGTGTAGACGACGTCGGAACCAACCAACAATTTATTGAACAAACAAGTCTACTGATGCCTATAGTTGCGTTTATAAAAGAAAGTATGTCTGGAATGACCAAAGTTTATTTAGATAGGAGTGGACAAGATGAGATAATAAAGATGTTTTATAACGCACTGCTGGACCAGTTCTCAGCGCAGCTCAAGCATGTCAACTGATTTATGCCTACAACCATTAGTTTCTCAATTCTCTCGGACAATCTGACATATTTGCGCATTGTTCCTGGCTCAACCTCGGCTTGCTTGTTGCCCAGGATAGGCACTCGGAAATTAAAACAGTACAATGTCAAATGTTTTATTCCCAGATGAACAAGATTGAATCCAACGAAGAAATTATTTTCACGTAAAAAATAAGAAATTGATTATTTTGTGAAATTAGACAGCTCAATTATCATATCATTTTTTGTTTTACCACCACAATGTATTTATAGTTTATAAAGAGCGTGTTTACTATTTGGCAAATAAAAAACTGGAAACAGTGAAAAAGCAGTACTTGGTATTGTTTTGGTAGATTAGTGCACACAAGCCAAGATTGCCTTGTCTCCTTTTTTCGCCAAAAAATCGACTTTTGGGCTTGACTTTTTATTATGGATTTTCAAAGCCAAAAGTCAAAATCAAAAGAAATGTGTGGAAAATGGGTTCATTATATCTTGATTTATATTTATATTTTAACCTTTTACTGAAAATGAGGTGAACATCCACTAGACGATGTAGACCTTTTTCTAATCCACAATTATCCTTTATATATTTTATTATTTTATTTTATTTTTATTTCATATTATTTTACCACAATGTCATTTTATAACACACTGCCGCACGTTGTCACGGAAAAAATATTAGTTTACGCGTTTACGTCCGAAAATAACAACATTAAAACATGGAAGCTGAAACTACCATTGCTTGCGGTTTGTAGCAATTGGAGGAGCGTTGAAAAGAGTTTAGTATACAGAGATGCATACCTGGAAAGCCTTTCAACAACTGTGGCGTTGCGCTCTGGAATCTTTGATAACGAATCAACACTTTCCAATTTAAAAATGTTTTAATATACCAGAGCATTGGCCTATATGCGGAATTTGAACGTTTAAATATAGCAACTTACAGCTTACAGCCAGTTACGTAATATGTTGATTTGTATGCACAACAAGAACCCGCAGTACTGGAACAACATAACAGGACTTTCATTTTACTTGGGTTTTGTCAATGTGTTTCATATTCACAATAATGGTGATGCTGTTGTTATTTCAGAGCCAATTGCGACATTTATAAAAAAGAATATGCCAAAATTAAAAACAGTCAGGCTTGGAGGATACAACAAGGACGAAAAAGTAAAGGTTTTGTACATGTTAATTGACTGTTTCTCAATGCAACTCAGTCAAATTAAAACCAACATCCCAACATTTATAAGTGTCCCAAAGCTCTCAGATAATTTGACGCACTTAATAATTTTGCTTGATAAAAATCCAAGTCAGATATTGCCCAGAATCTATGCTCAAAAACTTAAGCAACTAATATTGTCCGATACGCCACATCATTTTTTATGGAAGTACTTTCAAAACAAAATGAATCCTGGTGATGTCTACTTTAATAATTTAAAAGAGTTGGAGATTCGGTATTATTTAAGAAATGGTTACAGCAAAACATATGTTTTACCAGACAGTTGGAGATACAAGTTAAACAGTGGAGACAAATACAAGGTACATTTCCCCAGTCTCAAAAAATTAAACATTACTGATAGGCCACCAGACGCTGACATATCATTTGCCGATAACTATCCTAAGCATATTGAAAGATTTGAAATTGATGGCACATTTTTTGCCGAGAAATCATTTGATAACTCCAATATCAAGTCGGTTGGAAACCTAATAATGTGGTATTATATGGCAGATGAGTCAATGGAATGAGTTTTACTGTGCTGCAAGCTATTTGTTTGGCCAAATTAATATTACTGACTGTACTTCCCTTCACTTACCAAGCAAAGCACAGATTTTAAATTTAAATTTGATTAGTTGGCCAAACTTGAAAATGCTAAGGTCTTCAAGATCTGGAAGAGGCAACAGATGTATAATTTTGTTATAATCAATTATTCTCAGGTTCAAATAGTTCAAGCTCACATGCGATACACAAAATGTATATTAAAGTAACGACGTGGTTAAACCCTTGAAGACAGGATTAGAAATATGTTTATAGAAAAAAGTAGAACTATTCTTGTAGAAAATATCATGCTATGTATCAAGCAATTGATGGTACAAGTGGAGTCGCTGCGTAAATTTGGTATGTATGAACCAGTAATTAAGGAGCTGATAGAGTTTGTCAATAATAATAGTAAAAAGTACCCTCACTTAAAATACATTATAATTTACTCCAAGATGAACGAGATTAAATCCAAGGAAAAAATAATTTTCATGTAAAAATAACTTTGTTTTGTTTTGCGGAACAAGTAAATGTTGATTTTAACGAAATTACAATTTTCAGTTTTTATTAGCCATGTTTTACTTCCCTTTAAATAAAAATCTAGATAGTTATATACATCCATACAAAATGCAACAACAGTTTATTAGCTGTTGAGTTTTTTGAGCGCCTGGCTCCTCGCGTGCCCTACAAAACAGCATTTTCAACCATTCATCCCAGGCTTAATTAAAACTCCGCAAGGAATATATTTTATAAATTATAATATATTTTAACAAGTAACCGAATAGTTCAAAAATAACCTAAATCGGAGCTAAAAGGGGGTCTAGCTCAAATGGCAGAGCGCGCGCTTCGCATGCGTGAAGTACGGGGATCGATACCCCGGTCCTCCAATTAATTTTTTTTTGGACATTGTGATTAAAAGTATTAATCTCGTTTTTTTGCTTTTTTCTCCCTCACGTATCGCGTCATTTAATTATTTTTCTTATGCGTGGATTGGTAGGTTGCGATTTTTGATTTGCGAAAGACTGATTTATTAATTTTTAGAGAGATTTTTTGGTGCTAGTAGTCGCAGTTGGTTTGGTGTTGGCTTCGTTCAGCATGGCGGCGTCGAGTCTAGCCAGGTCCTTGGAGGACTCGTAGAACTGAATAACATTGATGGTGTTCTTGATGACACAAACTGGGAAAGCAGCAAGCGTAAACGCAACCGAAATAGCGTACGCGTACGAGGTCAAGTACTTGTTCAGGTAGATGAGCAAGAAAAAGGCCTCGTTTCCAAAACAAAAAGCGAACAAAACCCTGCGATCCGTATAATAAGCCTTCAAAATCCAATGAGCCTTATCGTCCATCTGCTTGTGGTTAGTTTTGCCAGTAATAAGCTGAGCGTACATCTGCATATAATGGCTGCTGATATCCAGGGAGATCAGGAAGCAGAAGGGAAGGGCCATGAGGGGGTAGAGTTGGGCGAGGTAGGTGAGGAGAACGGTGGTGGTGCAGCGGTCAGTGACCATATCGAGGACTTCACCGAATTTACTGCATTGGTTTAGTTTGCGTGCGTAGTGGCCGTCAGCTGCGTCGAGGAGCTCGGAGAGTGCGTAGCTGAAAAACATGAGCGTCGGGTGCTCGTTGTACATGCTGTAGACGGCGATGGCGGTGAGTGCGACGCGAGAGTAGCCGATGAGGTTGGGGACGAACCAAAAAACATCCATGTAGTTTAGTTTCGCCATTTTTTAAATTGCGTGCAAATGGCTTACCAACCTCTTACGCTTATTGGCGGAATTAAGTAAAGGAAAAAATAAAAGTTGGGAAAAAATAAAATGGAGAAATTTATTAAAGAGAGAGGGAAAACAACAAAATAACAGTAGGAGCGACACGTGCAGACCGGTCTAAACACTCCTTCATCGCTTTGTCGCGCAGATGGTTTTTTTAGGCATTATGAAAAAAAAACTAAGTAGCGTGAAATCAGTTTCGGAATAAAAAATCCCAAGCTTGAGCTGCAATTTATTGAAATGTTAATCCCCTCCCCACCCTCCTCTTCCCGGATTTTCTTTCTTTGTAGCCGAACTGGTCTGTTTTTCACTTTCTCATCTTTTTTTTTTGAAAATGCAATTAATGGGGGCGATTAACACAGCTGTTTAAAAATAAGCCATTTGTTTTTAGTCTTTCAGAGCGTGTCTGCACTAATAATAACACGGCTAGGACTAAAGAAAATTGCAAAGCCAAAAAGCTCATAATGATAAAATAGATCCATTATAAACAACATTAAAGAACAATTATTGCTTCCTGGGCAAAAAAGTCCGCCTAGAATGTGCAAAGCCGACAAGCCCATGCTTTTTTATCCCACACACAATAATCAAATAAAAAGTGTTTATCATTTTATTTATTACATTAAAAATTCTCCTTTTTACCTACGGCAATGGCAGGTTATCCAACGAAGCCATCGGATCAGTCTCTAGCATCTCAGGACCTATCAACAAGGCTCGATCCTTATGTAAGAGCTTATAGGAGTTCTTAATAGTAACCTCACTAACGCCAGCCACATGCGAAATAACCCTCGCGTCTCTCGGCTGGCCGACCAAATGCGATGCCATATAAATACACGCACCAGCCACCGACACCGGGCTTTTCCCCGCCAGCGTATCCCTTTCCTTCGCTCTCTTATTCAACATCACAGCGCACTCCTGTGCCTTCTCCAACAAGGACAGATTCGCACAAAACCTAGCCATCAAATCATCCGATGACATTGACCCAGCATCTGCGCCCAGCTTCTCTTTAAGGTACTTGAACGTCCGACCGATATCCTTGCGCGGCACCCTGGTCAACGCACAAATCTCCTTGAAAGTCCTCGGGACGGCCTTTTGGCGACACGCAAGGAAAATGCACGTGGCAATAAGCGCATCAATATTCTTGCCGCGATGCAAATTGCCCTCTTCCACCAAGCGGTAGAGCTCCCTGGATGCCTCGTTGATCGACCGCGGGAGATCCATTGTTTGGCACATTAGGGATATTTCGGTGAATGCCCTTGTGAGGTTGCGTTCTTGACGTTGGATCACTGCTCGGCTGCTGCTGCTGCTTGAGCGGCTTCGGCTGCGCAGCATTAGTGGGGGTTTGGTTGTACTGGTGCTGCTGGTGGTGCTGCTGTCGCTATGGCTGCTTTCGTCTTGCTGCGTTGTGAGGGTGGCGGCGGTCATTAGGAGCCGTGCGCCGAGGTGGGCGCTGTTTGGCGCATGTGTTAGGGATGCTGCGTGGTGTGGAGAGGGCGGCAGAGAGGGCATGGGTGTAATCAGGCTGCTGCCGCTGCTGGTGCTGCTGCTTGTAATGCGATAGTCGGTTGTGAGCTTGGTTGTTGTTGCCATGGCAGTATATTATAGTTGAATAGATAAATAAAAATAAAAAATCAATCCTGATCAATCAATATGTGTAGAGAGAAAAAAAATGAGATGAGAAAAAAAAGAAGGGACTTGAAGTGCAAGGGCAAAAAAAAAAGTTCATAACAATTTTTTCTTTTTTCTTTTTTGCAGAATTGAGCCGAGGCAGCAAAAGGAAAAAAGTTGATCTTGGGTTGCGCTTAATCATGGCGTTTAATTTTCCATTTTTTATGCGCAGTTTTTCTCCAAAAAAAAGCCATACAATCACATGATGGCTAATGACATTGATCGAGATGATTGCACTAAGAAAAAAATGAACGAGACTACAAAAATCTAAAAACAAAATTCAAGAGTAATCTGCTGCTAAAAATGCTTACGAGTATCTAACATGTGCGTGCTACTTGTTTCTTACCTTTGACAAAATGTAAAGGTAAGCGCATAAACAGTCTCTAAGGTTTTACCCCGCAGGCTGGGGATCTGCCACAGTGTAGTATGCGTGTGTGTATATATGCGTGTGTGTATGCGTGTATGTGTGTATGCGTATGTGAGGAGGAGGGTGACGATTGATTGAAGCGAAGGAAAACAATATCAGCCCCTCTTTTTTCCTCCGTTTTTCCCCTACAGCAATAATATCCTTTTATGTGCATTTCACATTATCAAACCCCCTGGACTCTATTTTTGTTTTGTACTCTTAGCCTTTCTTATTAAACATTGTAGTCTTTTAAAAAACACGCTATTCAAAAAACATATGCTGCAGTGCATCAGCCGTCAGCTTCTACTGAGCACCACGGGCAAAGGAGCGCGGCCACTGGGATTACGGCTCAAAATAAGCAATACCGCTGGACAGCTTCTCCACACAAGACGATTCGCATCGGCCTCGGGCTCGGCTTCACCTCCACCGCTTCCACAGCATCACAATGTGGCGCGCTCTCGCCGCACACGCACAGCAGTAGCATTGGCGCTGGTGGCTGGTGGCGGGGCGATCTATTGGATAGTGTTGGCGAAACGCAGGCCAATAGATAACGGATCAGCCAGCAGCAACATTATTTCCCCTAAACCCACAGAAGTATCAGAGCGCAGCGAGGCATTGGCTGCTCCCCAGGGCTTTCTGACGCGGATCTGGCGCACAGCAGCGGTGGCAGCGGACGGCAGCTGGGAGCTGCTGCTGACAGTTGTGCGGTCAGGGCAGATCCTCCTCTACTTTCTGCCACTGCTGGCGACCTACCCTGCGGTCTACCTGGGGCGGTGGCAGGCCGACCGAGGGGCGAGATCCGGTGCCCTATGGTGGTACGCGTTTCTGCGCGCGCAGCTGTCGCGCGGCGGCCCGACCTTTGTTAAACTGGCGCAGTGGGCGGCCAGCCGCACCGACCTGTTCAGCGCCGCACTCTGCCTGGAGCTCGGCCGCCTGCATGACAACAACCGCGCGCACGCCGCAGAGTACTCCCGCCGCACAGTCGCACACGCCCTGGGCGTTGCAGATGTGCGTGTGGTGTTTGACCAGTGGGAGGACCGGCCGCTGGGCGTCGGCGCTGTCGCGCAGGTGCATTATGCGCGATTGCGGCCAGAGTTCGCACAGGGGATGGCTAGTGGCGATGTTGCCGTGAAGGTGCTGCACCCAGGCGTCCAGCGGCTGATCGCGCGCGATCTGCGGATCATGCGGTGGGGTGCGCGGCTGCTCGGGTGCCTGCCCGGCATGCGCTGGCTCAGCTTGCCCGAGGAGGTGGCAGTCTTCGGCGCCATGATGCAAGCGCAGGTGGATCTGCGCACGGAGGCCCATAACCTGCAGAGCTTTGTGCGGAATTTTGCGCACCGACCCGGCGTAACGTTCCCCCGGGCATACCCAGACCTGAGCTCCGCGCAGGTGCTTGTGGAGTCGCATTTCGATGGCATCCCGCTGCGTGCGTTTCTGGACTCCCCGGGCCACTCGATGTTCGACCGCCGGCTGGGCGCCCGCGGGCTGGACGCGTTCCTGCATATGCTGATCTACGATAACTTTGTTCACGCCGACCTTCACCCTGGAAACATCCTTGTGGACTTGCGGCCGCCCGAGCCTGTGACGCCGCTGGACCGCTTCGTCGAGGATTTCTACGACATGTCGCCGTTTGCAAAGAGCCGTGCACAGGAGCCACTGCCGACTGGGGCAGAGGCCCACGCGCATGTGCGCGGGATCATGGCGGACCACGAGGCGGGCGTGATTGGCTTGCAGGAGAAGGGGCAGAGGATCCACGCGTACATGGAGTTTCTGTGGGCAAACGGGTTCTCCCCGTCATTGGGGTTCCTAGACTGTGGGCTCGTCACCTCGCTGGACGCCGACAACCGCCGCAACTTCATCGACCTGTTTGAGGCTGTCTGTACCTTTAATGGCACGCGCGCCGGCACACTGATGATCGACCGATGCTTGACCCCCGACCAGGTTGTGGACAAGGATGTTTTTGTCCTGCGGATTCAGGATATTATCCTGAAGGTGCGCCAAGTGTCGTTCCAGCTGTCTAAGCTGACCTTCTCTGAGATATTTTCGCCGGTTATGGATGCCGTGCGGATGCACCATGTGAGGCTGGCACCCGACTTTATCAACATCATCATGGCCATGTTTATCCTCGAGGGAATCGGCCGCAGGCTTGATCCAGACTCGGATATCCTGAGAGTCGCCCTGCCGATGCTAAGGACTTGGCTGAAGGAAGATGCGCAGAATGAACTTGCCTGGCAACACATCAAAGGTGGCAAGACCGCCGATACTGCTGCTGTTGCTGAGACGTATAGGGCGAGGAGCTGGAACCTGTATAAGGTGTGGATTTACGTCGAGTTTAGAGAGTACTTTGATAGGATTAAGAATTGGGGACTGGATGATGGTGAGTTCTTTGGCGAGTTTGCCCCGTTTGTCACTGCAGACTCCAGCCTAGCCTAGAATATTAGTTTTTTATTATCGAGTTGACTGTTTTTTTCGCTTGCTTTTTTGGTTGACTTTATGGATTATGTATATAAAAAAGCCGTAACTGAATTTGACAAACAAATATTTACAATGGTGCAGTAATATTCAATTATTGATTTTTGAAAAAACTGAAAGTAGACTAGATGTTTAACAATAGAGTTTTTGTTGTTTTGTTTAGTTTAGCTTAAACCACATTACTACCCTTATATCAGAATATATTCCATTGTTTTATAAAACTTTTAAAAAACAGTGGTATTTAGACAAGTTTAAAAGGTAGTAGTACTTCAAATAAAAAATAAACGTAAATAAAATATCCAGGGACCATGTTTACTTTTAAATGCTTTCCAACAAACAAACAAACAAATGCAAACAAGCTATATGCAGTAATAGACCGAGTGCAATAATCTCTATCCCAAAAACAGCACACTCCTCAAGTCTAAGCCATGGAAAAAACTTTACGTATAAAAGAACCGTACCCAACCGCCATTTTCCAAAACATTACAAACTCATCAACACTCCCAAATCATCATCAATCCTCTAAACATCCGCTTTTCCAAACACACACCAACCCCAAAACACCAACTTCAATCTTTCATTTTCATTTTCCAATTCTAACAATGCGTTTCACTTCCGCTGTCGCTTTCCTTGCCCTTGCTTCCTTCGGTGCTGCTATTCCTACTTACTCAGGCCACCCCGGCTACCCTGGTACGGTTGTTGGTCCCTCTGTCTATGTTCCCATCAATGATGCTTACCCTGCTTACCCTGACTCGTGGAACAACGGTGGAAACAATGGCGGCAACGGTAATGGTGGAAACAACGGCGGCAATGGCTCTGGCAACAACGGCGGCAACGGTAACGGTAGCGGCGGCAACGGTAACGGTAATGGTGGAAACAACGGCGGCAACGGCTCTGGCAACGGTGGCAACAACGGCAACAACGGCTCTGGCAACGGTGGCAACAACGGCAACAACGGCAACAACGGCAACAACGGCTCCGGCAACGGTAGCAACAATGGCCCCATTGGCGGCCCTGTCGGCATCGCCGCAAACTGCGGTCTGACCGGTAATCAGGTCTCCGCCCTCACCCCTTTGGTCGCCAAGCTGAAGCTGACCAGAACTGTCGATGACCTCAAGCACCTCGTCAAGCAGATCACCGACCTCCTTGCCGACACCCTGCAGAAGGACGCCATTGACTCCGTTCTCAACATCGTCGACTCAGTTGCCCTGGGCCTTGGCCTTGGCGGTCTTAACCTCCAGCCGGCTGTGGATTCCGTTTCCAGCATCCTGTATAAGCAGATTCCTTGCCTCCTTGATACCCTGCTGCCCAAGTTCTAAATTAAAAAAGAACCTTTGATTTCTATCATTCTTTTTCAGGGGGGTTTTCTTCTTGACGAAGAGTTTTCTCCTTTACGCCCATTTTGTTTTAATACACTATAAATACAAAAATTCACTTAATCTGCTATTTGTCAATATTAAACAGTTTTTATATAACAAATCAATTTACCGTTTAATTGAGTTGATTTCCGTATATCTTGGCTAACTAATTTATCAAAACAGGCAAAATTGAGAAAGCATCCAAAATACACACTACTTTTTTTGTATAGGGGTGGCGGGAACAAAAAAGGATAATCCAATTGTTTACTTTGAATATCTGCTTAATCAAAAACCACAATTGAAATGAAGCCACAGTATCAAAACAACAACCCAAACAATAGGCCACATAGTGCATAAGAAAAAGAACCACAAAAACATTGTTTAAAAAATATAAATAATTCATATTCAGATACTATATTGTTTGATCATACAAAAAACAAAACAACATAGAATGACCTTAGACATTGGACATTGCAATTCCGTGAACAATAGTAGCACACAATATTTGTCAGACGAAAAATAATAATAATAATAATGAGAATGAAAATAAAATTGAAAAACAAACATAATAATTGCAGGTAAACAATTTTTTTATTTCCATTGAACGAGCATGTGGTTTTCTTGGGGATGGTATACAGAATCCCACGACACGCATTGAATTTGCCTTGTGTACATGGTTGTTGATCTACTCCCTACTTTTCACATTTTTGTTACAATGTGATATTGAATGTATACCTTGTGACAAACAAAAACAAAAACCTATTCTCACAACTAATCGAGTTTTTATGTTGTTTTTTCACTTAGTTGAAGAAAACCGCAAATCATGCAGCGGCGTTTGCAACCCCCTATTGTTCAATTGAAAATCCCATTTGATTTCATATTATGCCAAAAATGTATGTCCAATAAATGTTGAAATACTCATACTCATATTCATATTATATCAATAATCCACAAAAAAGTCCAATATACTAACATCGCATGCATGCGTACATGCATTGTTTAGGGGTTTTTCTTCCCAGACTAAACAAATGTGGCTGATCGTTGTAATAGTATATTGAGCCATATATTACACAAAACGTGTAAACATTAGCAAAAAGAGTAAAATTAGCAATAAGACTATTAATTCAGATTCTCACTGAATAAGCCCTCCCTAAAAAATTTTAATTTTAATTTTTTGTATATTGCTGTTATCCAAATAAAGAAATAAAATGAAAAACAAAACAATATACTGGTCAGAAATAAGCCGCATGTGTGAGAAAGAAAACACATTTCCAGCCATTTACCCATGCCAAAAAAGACCGATATTCTCTACTCCCTCTTCCAATATATTTTGCAATAAAAAACTGTTAAAGTTTTTGTATATAACACAGACAGTTGCGCCAAGCTTTCAACCAGAGATAGTCACAGCTTTCTCATACTACTTTAGTTCCACAATAAGCCTTATATTCTAACCCGACCCTCTTCTTCCTTTTTAATCCTTAATCCTCCCTCTTTTTTAGCAATGCGCATTTCTTCGACTTTTGCTGCAGGTTTCCTGCTTTCTTTCGCCGCTGCCAGCCCTCTGGTTGCTCGTGGTTACTCTGGTGCGCCCTCTGTTGATGTTCCTGCTAACTCTGGCCCTAGCTACTCTGGCCCGTACAGTGGCGGAAATGGCAACGGCGGCAGCAATGGCGGCAATGGCAATGGTGGCGGCAACGGCAACGGTGGTGGTAACGGCGGCAATGGCAATGGTGGTGGTAACGGCAATGGTGGCGGCAACGGCAATGGTGGTGGTAACGGCAATGGTGGCGGCAACGGCAATGGTGGTGGTAACGGCAATGGTGGCGGCAACGGCAATGGTGGTGGTAACGGCAATGGTGGCGGCAACGGCAATGGTGGCGGCAACGGCAATGGTGGTGGTAACGGCAATGGTGGCGGCAATGGCAATGGTGGCGGCAACGGCGGCAATGGCAATGGTGGTGGCAACGGCGGCAATGGCAATGGTGGTGGTAACGGCGGCAATGTCAATGTTTGCGGTGTCACACCAGGCCAGATCTCTGCTCTCACTCCCCTGCTCAACAAGCTCGGTCTTGATCTCACCGTCCACGGCGTCAAGCTTCTGGTTGACAAGGTCGGTTTTGCCGTTGGTGATCTCCTTGCCAGCCAGCTGATCCTCCAGAAGGGCGGCGTCCTTGATGTTGTCGACAACCTTGTCGGCGGTCTCCTTGGGGTTGACCTCAAGCTACACAACACGGTTATCTCCGTAATCCAGGTCCTTGACAAGCAGCTGCCTTGCATCCTCGATACTGCCCTTCCCCTTCCATAAATAACCTAGATTATCCTACTCTTTATATTTTGATTTCATAATTATTGCAATTTTTCTTTCCGCACATTGGTTTTTTACCACTGGTATGTCTACTTTTAAATTTAATATATTTTTCGTGACATTTCAACACATTTTTGTTAGTAGACAACCACTGCAAAGTTGAAAATTATAGGCAAATCTTTTTTCATAGCATTGCTCTAGCATGCTCATTTTATTTAATATAAATGCGTTCAACTTCACATGCTCTGCAGCATGTCTGGCTCGTGAGTTAAAGTCCCCTTTTTAGTTCATACTTTATTTACTTGATTTTTCAACATCTAAATAAAGTGTACCAACTATGCACGTGTTGCATCCATGTTTCAATTTTTTGTTTTTAAAAAATTGTGCTGACGCATGTACTTGTGCCATTTTGCAAAACAAAATACTTTGTTTTCTTTTGTTGCAAAAAAGTCAACAATACATTTAAAACAATGACAATATAAAAAGATACAGGTGTAGTGGTTAATTCTATGCAAGCCACATTATAAACTATTATTTAAAGTGGTCAAATGTGAGGTTCGCGATTTCCAATAATCAATATTCACATGCTGTTTCAGATTCATATATAAAAAACTTTAGAAAAATAAATGGCTGCGCCATTAACACATATCGGATCAATAGTACTCGGTTAACAATGTTAGAAAAAGTGATTTTTAATGTTATTTGTTTTATTGCCAAAGTTGGATGTTTACACATTTTGTATATTTAATTCTCTCCCCTGCCGCCCTGCCACAATAACAGCCATTGTTTTATGTTTAATACGAGGCGTACAGCACGTTGCAAAAACCCGTCTGTTCTATCTTGTTTATTTGATTGTATCGACAAATAAAAGCTAGGGATAATTAAAAAATGGAAACCAGTGTCTCCATTTGGGCTTTCGACATTCATATCAATATTTTTAATTTAAAGACAATTGAGCATACTATTTCTGAAACATTGTATATACCCTCCCTACCTTATTAGTATTTTGACGGTTTGTTGTGGCTTTTCATTGCTGTTTGCGTCATAATTTAATAAATGTTTTGCATATTGAGATGGGCCGCTGGATTCCTTCAAAAACAATATGATAAACTGATGATACTGTTTGTAGAATGAAAAATTGTTCTTTTTTCAAGCGTGTCGTGTAGCTGGCTGAACACAAAGACAATATGCTAATTAAATGGCACAGGTATACACGATAACATATCCCTCCCTAGTTTAAATTTTGAATTCATCTCTTCTAGCAACAATGTCTCAAGATTTCATTTTTGTAAATAAAATTGTAGGGGTTGTTCAGATTTTTGCTTCATGTTTTTTTGCTGTCATATTAACTGAACGCCAAATTATTGCGCCCAGGACATTGCCAACTAATATTACATATAAATACCAGGATATCCTGCAAAGATGGCAGGTATTTGAAAAACGTATACATCCTAGTTGTTTATAATATTCTCAGGTTCTCCCAAGAGTTCACTTTTTTTACAGCAAATCCAACATGCGCTTCACTCTGTCCGTCATTGCCTTGACCATTGCCACCTTCACGGCTGCCCTGCCTGTTGATTCATTTGATGAAGCTGCCGGTGCCATTGGTAACTTGCCTTTTGGTCAGACCTTTGGCTTGCTTGATATCTCCCCCGAGATTGAAGCCGTCTTATCCAACACCAAACAGTTAATAAATAACATTAACGCCAACATCGCTACTGCAGCAACTGGCAAATTTGTTCCTGCAGTTACCGCTAACGTCATTACAGCCGCTGCTGCTGCTGATGCCCTTACTGTTGCCGAAAGCAAGGCTGAAGTTACCAAGCCAGCTGCTGAAGAGAAGAAGCCGTCCGCTGACAAGCCAGTCACCGACAAGAAGCCGTCTACCGATGACAAGAAGCCCTCTGCCGACGACAAGAAGCCAGGGGTCGAAGAGAAAAAGCCGTCTACCGATGACAAGAAGCCATCTACCGATGACAAGAAGCCAGCGGTCGAAGAGAAAAAGCCAGCGGTCGAAGACAAGAAGCCAGCTGCCGAAGACAAGAAGCCAGCTGCCGAAGACAAGAAGCCATCAACTGACAAGAAGCCGTCCACTGACGACAAGAAGCCATCTGCCGATGACAAGAAGCCATCCGACGAGGACGAGGACTAAAGTGCCATTTACATTCAATTATCCAATTACATTAATTTTATCTACAACTTACTTTTTTACATATACTTAATTGCATTTACATAACGATTTTTTGAAACAAAAAAATAATATCGAATATGTTTGGATTTTATTTTATTTAACTATATTAAAATAAGTTTTATGTATATTTTTCTCAATGAACATAGAGAGCTACAGAAAAACAAACAAACAAACTCAACGACGCTGGTTGTAATCAAAAGCCCGCTGTTGCTGTTGCTGTTGTTGAGCCTGTTGTTGATGCGCATGTTGCTGTTGTTGGTGGTTATGCTCGTTGATCATTTGTCCCAGCGCTGTTGAATTCATATGCATATTTGCCGCATACCCCCGCTGCTGCTGCTGTTGCTGCTGTTGATGTTGTTGGGAATGTGCGCCATTAGCAGCACCAATCCCTGGCATCCCCATTGCAGCTTGCGAAGTGAAAGTCAAATGCGCCGCATACCTCTGCTGCTGGGTATTGGACATTGCCGTTTGCTCCGTATCCAACGAAGGGACCGTGTTAATCAACTGGTTAGATCTCTGATTAGACATGGATGCAGCTAATACATGCGTAACAGGATCAAAGCCCATGTCGGATGCCAGTCGGGCAATAGTAGAATTCATACCCTGGGGCCCGCCATTGATCAACGCTGGATTCCTGGAAGGAGGAGGCGGAGGGTGATGATGAGAGGGGGCAGGGGGAGGAGGGGGAGGCTGACATTGATGCAGGGCATTCATGGCGTCTTGGTACCGATAATCAAAGCTGCCATGGTTACTCGGGATTGCGCCCGAATTCACTGCGCTGTACGGGTTAGTAGCAATAGTGGTGGATGAGGCGTGTCGCATGCGCTTGTTCGGCGGCATGCCAAGGTTGACCTGCGCGTGATGCATGGGTGATATATTCTGATCAGGGTCGCCATTGCTGTAAACGGGCATCGGTGGCTGCTGCTGCGATGGTTGCTGTGGCGGTTGCTGCGTCCTGAGGATGGCTGCTGAAGCGCTGGCAGGGGGGGTGCTCACATCGTAGGTGCGCTTCGAAGGCATCAGTAGGATATCATCCGCAGGCGCCGAGTGTGTGGGCACCATCGGCTGGGGCGGCGGTCTCAAACCAGACAAGCGAGAGGACATCGTGGCCGGCGCTGATTCCAGCATAGGAGGCTGTTGCTGCTGTTGCGGTGGCGGCATCGGGGGCTGCGGCTGGGGAAGTGCCGAGTTAGGTCCGGAGAGCAGAGCCTCAAGAAGTGGCAGCGAGCTAATATCGTTAGATGCCGCTGGCTGATGAGTAGAACTGTTGAGGAAAGATGCCTGGGTGGCAAGTGATGCGTCTGTATAGTTAGTCAAAGCGTTTATGTTAATTTGGTGAGCGTTTTCGCCAATGCCGTTGGGCGCAAAGGAATGAGCCGAAAACTCCATACCACCCACGCTATTGCTCAGCTGCTTGCTGGCCACGACGCTGGATGCGGCATCCATGTGATCAGATATCTGGCTGGTTGTGCTGGCCGAACCGGCCACACCGCCCATTGTGTGTGTGGACTGCGTCGATATGGTCGCCCCATTGGTAGATGAGGCCAGGTGGCTAGGCACTCTCTTGTGCCGCTTAGACATATGGCTTTTGATACCCGATGGAATGAACGGCCGACATGCCAGCTTCCAGTATCCGCGCATGGCGTTCTGCAGCCACTTCGGATAAGCGTCCGGGTCGCAGGGCACCGACAATGGTGATTCCATATGGTCCAAACTCAGTAGCCTCAGGCGGTGGTCCAGTGCCATCGTGACGGCATCGATGC